TTGATCCATGGCGCCTAAATGACTTACAAATTAGCATATGTTGCATCTCACTTTTGTCTTTTGTACAATATATTGCCTACTAGAACGGGATATATTATTTTCGTCATATTTAAAACACATTTGTATGAATTTTTACTTGTCAAAAACAGGCATCTTTATCGCTCGACATCACTGGTAATATTTTGCGTTGTTTTCCTGTTTTTTTTTTATTTTCCTTTTGTGTTATGTGTGCGTGTATATATATATTTTTTTATATACAAGTATTCCGAGTATGACGTTTTCTAACTTACAATATCTCAAATAAACATAATCGTGAATGTAAAAATTCTAGATTCATTAGTGGTTAATTTATTATTTAAATAATATTTCCAAGAAAAACGATTTCGTGTGTAAATCTCTACAAACATGTTAAGAAATTTTCTGACAAGTGTTATAAACTCAATATTTGATTTTTCTCATAAAATTGAAAGAATCCATTTGACGGTTGAAAGGTGATGTAAACGTTTGGCTCGGTTTGAATTATGATAAACAACGCTCGGGATTAGTATTAATTAAGCATGTTAAGTCTTATATTCCTATATCTTTGGCACTATTCGACAAGGCGCAGTGCAAGTTGTGTCATAACAGGGTGTATGAGTAACACGGGAGTAGACAGCCAGTCTGGTCCGGGGGTTGGGGACGTGTTACAACCCGGCCCCGAGAGTGTGAGCATTTTAAACCTGACAGCTCGGTTAGGCTGTAACCTTGTCACTGATTGGGGAGCGTCTGTCAGCCCTCACATACAGCAAGGTGTGCAAACACGCTGAGTGGGGAAAATCATCCGCTAATTCCTCGGCATTAACGACCAATGATCGACCTAATGACATTATAATGAAGTGATAAACTAACACACCGAGCTGTATCAAAAGTGAAAACAATACTGTCCACAAATCCGTCCATTGTCCAAACAAAGTGACCGGGCGCCGCCTGTCAAAGTTGAGTATTCAATAATTCTGATCGCCGTTGTCCAGCTAGCTCGACCTTTGTTTGACTGTTTAGGGCTGTTGATGGTCCCTTTCTCTTGCAGAGAGGACAGAACGTCTGAGCAATGATGTTGAGGTGTATCGTCTGACAGGGTCGGAGTGAAGAACAGGTACAGACCCTAGACCGGTCCGACCAGCTGTCTGTGACCACCACACAAACACGCCAATACTTACGTTAGGCCCCTACAAACAAAACATCCACCCAGTAATTACACTAATGATTGTTTCTATAGAAATTTGTGATTGGTAACAAGCTGTCTTCTGCAGTGTCCCACTGAGGCACGTGAGTAGTCTCCCTTGTCAAACCTCTCCCATTCCAACCCCCGGGCTAAAAAGCCGAGCATCTTTCTAATGTGTTTTGTCCAGACTAGGTAAACATTAAAACAGAAGACAATATTCTGGTATAGTGTTCAGCGTAACAAGGCCCGAAGCTGTCCTCTAATGTCTCCCGCATACGTGTGTGTGACGTAACAAAGTCAGCACCCTTTGGCCTGGAACCTGTTTTATTTCAACAGATCGATTTGTTTTGATCGATTATGTGATTTGTTTATGTTTACCTAGAAAACCAGTATTTGTGAAAATTCCACGCCTGTCTTGTGAGAATACCGGTAGAACCTTCCCCGTGTCATAACTGTTTTGACGCCACTGTTGCTAAATTTCTGATAGGAGAGTCAAGTTCTTTGTGTAACTTTTACTAACACATCCCCACAAGATACACATGACGTTATCACGAAGAAATCACCCAGATTTTGGTATTTCGTCTGATCACTTTGGATTTCCCTAAGTCGTCTCATAGATTTCTGGATAACATAGATATTGCATGAAAATCAAATATAAGTGTTATGCAGTTTGATATAGCTACAATGTTTATAAAGCATGATCGTTGATAAGTCTATTCATAACCTTTATTTTTCTCTAAAATAAAGAGTGGAAATGAATATAACGGCAAATCTCTGAATTACATAGCCTATTCAGTCATTATGTTTTAACTAATCTGTTGATTCATAATTCTGATAATTTGATAACACGAAGTAAAGATTGCCATTAAGAATATTTTTATTATCTGTATTTTTTATTTCTTCTTCATTGTTCATCTTAATTAAAACAGAGTCATTTCAGTATATGAAATAAAATCTACCATATGTTATCACTAAATTTTCACACTCGGTTACTTCCCTTTGTATGAGAAACCGACAAAAGCTGTTGCACGCTTTGCTGAACACAATAGTTTAAGTCACGTTAGGACTCAAGTTAAAAAAAATGGAAAAGGTGAATAATTAACATATTTGTGTTAACAGAATTTTGAATTTGAACAAAAATGTCCTGTATCGGTAAATCGATTGAACAGAAAGTTGTGTGAATGTTACACCTTTTTTTACTGTGAAATTTGATATCGATGGCTAGAAGTATTATAGAACTCCTATGTTCAAATCAATATTGATCACAAAGAGGTTAGAAAACGAATAGCTAGAAACATGTCCCTCTATTCATCCTCTATTGTCAATATTTTTTTGTCCGGATAAAGTCAATTTAATAAATCATAAAGTACATATTTGGTATATTGTTTACGGTCGTGTACCTTCTGTAAATAGTGATGTTAAAAACAACCAAAATTGTAGTTTGTATAGAGCTACTGTTCCGAAATGATGTGGTTTGGAACGAACCTTCAGATGGACACACAACGATGTGTTGTGTCCAGTATGAATATTTTACTGGGATGTATTTAGTATGTGATAACAATGCTACGTTACAGAGGCAGGCCGAACCGCATCTGTTCTACCGACACATGCATGCATAACTAATATATACTCTTTTGTCGTAACTCAAAAGCGTTAAAAACATCCAAATAATTCCGTTATTTAACATATTATATTCTTTTTCATGTTTTGGTTGACAACAAATATTTACAATTTAATTTTTCACTTATCTTGATTTATCAAAACATTTTAATAGATTTATTCTTCGTCGCAAACAAAAAGAATGTGTTTATTCTCGCAAGCAATGCGCCTGTATTGTATTATCTAACTTTAAACTGTGCTCACGATATTTTCTCGTCCACGAGCCACATCACCTTTCAGTGCTAAAATGGACCCAATTATCTCCAAATCTATCACAATTATCGCTATTTACTGAAGAAGGTGTCGATTTTGCCACAGCATTGAACTCTGCATCTGGGTTTGTAAGGATGACGGCTTCCTACACCTGACCCCCGGGAGTAGTAAACAGTCACACCCAGAAGTATCTCAACACGAGTTTACGCCGAACTTGTTTTCATCTGGCCTGGTATTAATTAGTAAGGGTAAGTAATTATCTACTTGGGGTACGATTGTTAATTGCACTTGAAGCTTTCGCCTCACCATGGGTGTTGTTGGTGTCACTAAACTTCTCACTGTCTTTCCATGGTCATTCAGTGGACAGATACTCCTGTTATTAGCCGCTTTATTGTAAGGTACGATCGTGTACAACAGTTAGATTTAAATCGATATATTGTTCCAGGACTTTTTGAAATATTATTCGACTTTGTAACACAATCTGATTGGAAATTATTATTTTTTTCTCTATTGGTTATTCATGAATTAAAATCGATACCAGATTACAACACGATTCTGTTCTAATACTCTTTCTTTATTTCTAACATTGATTATTACAGTTCTAGCTTGAAGACGCCGCTTCAGCGATATTTAACAAAAACGACTTTTGATAAATTATGTACACTGTACAGATAATCTTTTCACAAGAAAATAAAGACCAAGTGATATTTCAAATGGTTAAATACTATTTTGTTTCATGTTCAAACATAAAGTTAATATTATCAAAAATGAATTACAAACTTTCCAATAAAGGAATTTTGAAGATATTTCCTTTCCACAGATTTTATAAAATTCTAAGCAGTAAATTGGTATGTAATTAGCAGTACAGAACTATTTGTTAGCTGTGTCGACTCCTCGCCGCTATAAAACTATGCTATATTAGTCACTTCCATACTGGCGCGATTTCTTATGTATTAACTATAAATCTCTTTGCAACTGGCGCCGGCCTCCGCGAGTATTTCGTTTTTCATCAAGTGTTTCATCTGACAAGTACACTTCTCCTGCACTAAAACACCGCCCCATTCTCAAACTAACATAACATATCTATCTATACTATTTGTTTCAGGAAAACATATATGCCCCTTCATATTTAAGGTTCATGATGGATTTTTTCTCTTTTAGTGAAAATATTTTAGAATATTGCAAATCGAAATTAAAAACACGATATATGGTGAATACCTTTTCTTTTACATTTATTTTTCCCATCATTTGAATTTCACACATTTTCAATCATTTCACACTGTTATAAATCATCTTGTCCGAATCGACATAAATACCCTCGAGGTACTACTGCCAAATTTTAAAAATAATCAATTTTAGAAATGTACTCCCGAGTTGTAAAGCCGTTAGCTAATTTTACGGTTTCTCCTTTGTGGCTAAGAAAGAGGGTGGAGCTTAGGTCTTCTTATCGTAACATCTCTGTTACACTGACACATAAGACAAAGCACGGACATGCCTCGGCTGTCAGCGACACTCTGCTGGCAAAACTGATAGGCCTATAACACGCCTTATTAGACTTCTGATTGGTGGGCGGAATCACGCAGACCAATCAGATTGCGCGAAACATAATAGAATTACACTTGTCATGTAGATTTGCCGGTGTAGTGGTAGAAGCTTGATATAATTATAAATAGTTGTGTTTCCGATTAGACTAGCGTATATCTGTGTTCTTACGACACGGCGGCCGTATGTTACCGGAGTGATTTACCCTGGACTGTGTTTAGTGTGTGACCAGATGTAGTCGTGTGTGTTGACTTGGTGTCCATTGACCCGACCACTCGCCCTTGCAGTGTTAACATGCGAATTTAAACTGAAAATTAACTTTATTTATATAGTAGATATTATTTCAAAAGATAAATAGGAAAGAAAAATTGGCTAATAACTTCCAATGATTTATACAGGAGGTGCCCCGGAGAGCAACATGGCTTATAATCCGTTTTTTCTCCAAAGACCTACTGACTACAGTTCTCTGTTGGCACAGCAACATTATCTGTCAAACATCGCCCTACACTCTCCAAACTATGCAGCATCCCTGCTGCCAAAGCTTCAACAAAGTATGGGGCGCGGTCCGCTCACCCCCGGGGATATATTCCACCCTCTCCATCCCCGTCAGCTCCGAAGTCTGGAGCCACCGGAGACGGATGTCCAAGACGACCCCAAGGTGGAACTGGAAGGCAAAGATCTTTGGGAACAGTTCCATAATATTGGCACCGAGATGGTCATCACAAAGTCCGGCAGGTAAGAATGCTTTTGAATTGTTGCACTGGGTTTTACCGTCCTTTTATTGTCTAACAATCTACTCAGAGAATTAAACATGTTTTGTTGTTTTAAAATCTGGATTAGATTTACCAGCAGTTTTTTCTATACTAATATTTTCTTTTGTTTTTTAAATCGCATACATTTACGATATTTTTCATGATTTCTTGGTTTTTGACTATTAAAACACATTCAATTATCACACACAAAAGATTAAAACTGTGATCTATTAGAAAACCATCAGTTTTTTAAAGTTGAATATGGTTGGTTTGAGTAATTTATTTAATGTTTACATACAGATGTATTTGTGTACGAGGTAGATGTTTATGATTTAGTATGACAGATGGCTACGTTTTGTTGATATCCCCACGGCAGACAAGATAGAAATCAGCCCAGCCTCTCCGTTCAGAACTCTAACACAGAAAATAACGTCGTCACACAAAAGTCACGGCTCAAAGGCAACCTCTTTAGATTCTTTATTATCCCTAACTTTATCGCTGTAAAATTTAACACATCATTTTATGAAAGATAAATTTTGACAGCAAATTTCTTCCCGATCTGAGAGTGTATAATTTGATAATTCAGATTAAAATCTTATATGTTCATCAATAAATCTGAACTGTCTATTTCAGAACGTCCTTAAATTTACGTTACATAAATGATTAATTTCAATAGAAAACGTCAATGAAAATGAACAATTGTAGATTTTTAGATGTAAAAAACATTCTGACTTAACAATGTATTTCTTATTAAATAATTTCTTAATAAATCGTGTTTGGGTCGAACGTTTTATTTTCAAATCTAGGGAAAAATCGGTCCTTTTGCTGATTTTAAAATACAAGTGATTTTCTAATTTTTACAAACACATACAGTATTTGTGAAAACAAATAAACACAATATTGGATGAAAAACCCTTTAACATGTATAGTTTTAATCACAGATAGTTTTTTTAAGATTTAATTAATTCTACACGAACATAGTATACAACTATTACGTTAACATATACCTAAGATAAAACTACTTGTGATAGTATCTGTAAATTTCACATTTTAACCCTCTCATAAAAGCGCCTAGTGTGATTTTGATAGCATCACTGTAAACCGGGGAGGGTGCAAAGGGAGGGGGAAGCGTGAGGCCCGGTGATACAGAAATAAATCACCACACAGGACGCTAACCTCTTAATCTACTTACATACTTAATCTTAATAACTTATACTCTAGTTAAGTCTTCCGAGTTAGCTTTTCAATTTAATTCGTTTCCGTCTAGTATCACGCAATTTTAAATTTACAGTATATAATGTGATATTTTCTTCTAAACTTTAAGTTATAATTTGAGTCAACAGAAAATTTGCATACAAATTCTGGAAACATTGGTATTGTTTTGTCTTCAGTTTAAACATATTTTAAGGATATATAGAATTATGGAAGGACTGATGAGCTAGTAATTTATCCAGCTTATGAATGATATTCTAGGGACAATTAAAACATTCACACTCAAAAATACACGTAAAATTAATCCTTACTGTAATGCAATGAAATAACATTCTTTAATGTAAATGAAATATTTAAAATTTGATACTTCTTTGTAACGTCTTTGTTTTAATAACAATAAATAATAATGCGTTTAAATACAAATGTATACAAAATTTTCAACATGAGTAACTGGCATGTCTTTGATTTTAGCTTTTGCATTAATATCTAAAGTAGTTTGATTCATTCGCGCAGATCTATCATTTTATTGATAACACTGAACAGAAATGTTAAGATTTAAATGCATATTTGTAAATTCATCATATTAGGCAACTTTTCCTAATATGGTCATGAAACTTAATTTCTGACACGTGAAAAGCTGACACCTGCAGTATAGACGGAACGTCTCCATGTCATCGCAATGAGTCGCTTCCGCGTTCATCATTAAGATTGAGATTGAATTAGAAATCGACGTCAGTTTACCTGTATTTCACGTCAACATACCTGTATCCATGTCAAGTATTGTCAACATTAATTTGTGTAAGGACTGCTAACTGGGCATGTCTATCATACTGTTTTCACTTAGACATTTATAATGATCGTCCAATCTATGCTAATGAGAAGAGTGCGTGTTTGTAACATTGCTTTCACTAAATCTAGCCCCTACGGACTTTTAGTAAGAATTAGAATTGTCATTATAACATAGAGTACTGGTTTTAATTAGCAAGTATTCAGTTTTATTGTACAACTACTCCAAATTATAACTTTTGTAATAAAAACAAGCTTTGACTTATATCAATGTTTTATTTCATATTATTATATCTATTCTATTATCATTCCTAAATCAAACGATGTTTTTGTTTTGTTTTCTTTCTTTTTTTCCATATCATTTTGCCTTTTTGCAATTTGGAATTTCCTTTTGAAACATAAATTAACTCATATTTTTGTTCTGTATTTGTGGTTCTTTTTCGATCTCTTTCATTTCAAAAAAAATTAAAATTACAAGAGAAATATAAATTTACTCTTTTAGAGTTACTCTTTGTGTTTCTCTCTCTCTCTCTCTCTCTCTTACTCTCTCTCTCCCTCTCTCTCTCCCTCTCTCTCTCTCCCTCTCTCTCCTACTCTCTCTCTCATTTGAAAATAAAATAGAAATACTAGAAATATTTTATTACAATAATTTTGTATATAGTCTGTGTGTCATCAACTTATCCTATCTTGTTTTGAAATAATGTTGTTACTATTTCACTAATATTTTTTATTTGTTATTTTGTGAAGTGTAGCGCTGTCGTAATCGTTCAATCTGTCAAGTCTTTCTATTCCCACTAAAAAGATTTGTTTGACTTTTCTGTCCATACACGATACCTTTAGATTACTGCTAATCAAGCAGAAATTCTAGTGTGTACAACATTCTATACTGAGTCACCTCTCGATCTGGCAAACTTCCGAACATTCATTCAAGGTTAACATTACAAAATTTTCCGCTTGATTATTTTGTTTACACATAATTTTGTTGATATTTTTTTCTACACCGTTACAACTTTGAATCAATTTAAAAAAAACTATGCTTTTAATTTCAATAATATTTTTTAATAATAAAATTATTACGAAGTTCTGTGATATCACCACTACATAAATCTGTTCAGGGAAAATAGTGAAAAAAATGAACTGAGTCTAAGAACGACCAAGCTAGAAATACATTATAACAGAATTAAGCTCTACTACTACAAAATTAACTTGATTAAATTATTTTTCTTTAATTATTTATTTGTACACAAAGAAAATAAACGTAATATAATCTTACTAAAACAATCAATAAGAAACCACGGAAATACACTGGAGTAAATTAATAACAACTGATTGCTATACAATAAAGGGTTGACAAGGTTACGACAGACTGATACAGGTATACACGATAGGCCCTGTAACATGATAACAGACAATGGCGGGATTCACGGATTGTCCGGATCTGTGACACCTTAATCCTGTTCTAACATAAACTCATTAAGTACGTCTCTCTTACAACGAGTACCCCGTGGATTAGTGTCACGTGTGTATCAAATCGCCCCGCTCCCCCTCCCTTCCCATACTTCTAGACGTCCCCACCCTCGTGCTAATTGAACAAGCGACGTCATTTCTCAGGTACCCAGCATATTTGGATTGTATGAATACTACCTGTTTCGTAATCAGGGAATTGGGGTCTCAGCCACTGGAAAGTGCCGAGTGTTTATAGAAGTATAGACAAGTGGCTCTCGACAGGCTAACGGGAATAGTAGAGTCAAACTTTGCCGATTTACAGCAACGATATAAAATTCGTCTGGGTACACAGGGAGCGTATAAAACTATCATCACGGCTCTTCACAAATTTTGATAATTATGTCAGCACTTAACCTGTAAATTAGGGGCTTATCTACATATCGAAAATCGGGTGCATGGAACAACGAGAGTCGTAAACATGGGAACGGCTTTATGGATGGTAACACAGATTATCTCACAAAATAAAGCGATGTCATTTTAATTGTTGATTACATCAACGAGTTATTTCTCGGTGATGATGTGGTTTTAAATTTTATGCAATAGTATTTAAAGGTATTTTATCATTTAATTTATTTTTACACATTTTCACTTTCGTAAATATGAGAGAAAGTGAATTTTTAAAGTAAATATTTCGCTGTATTATAAATAAGTTATTTTTATTTGTTGCAGACGGATGTTTCCTCCATTTAAGGCCCGGGTGTCCGGTCTAGACAAGAGAGCCAAATACATTTTATTGATGGACATTGTTCCTGTGGACGATTGTCGCTACAAGTTTCATAACTCACGCTGGATGGTGGCCGGCAAAGCGGATCCGGAAATGCCAAAACGGATGTACATCCATCCCGACTCTCCCAACACGGGTGAACAATGGATGCAGAAAGTCGTCTCCTTCCACAAACTCAAACTCAGCAACAACATTTCAGACAAACATGGGTTTGTAAGTATTGTAAGCATCGTTCTAAATCTTTTTTTTTCCCTTACCATGTTCAAAACATTTTCATTCATTCGTTAGATTAATATTTGTAGCCAGTCTATCTGTGGGGGATGTCGGGCTGTATCATCACTTTGTTGGATAAATAAGGAAATTGTTGGGAGATCACCTTCGGTATACTCAGGTGTGATATTGACATATGGCGCGAGGTCAACAATTACATAGCCTTCATTATCTACATGTATAATTGAGTGTTTGGTAATACTTTCACGCGCATCCTCACGTGAGAAAGGTAATGTTGGTTATGTTAAGGTGTTTGGTAGTGTCAAACCCACCGGCTAATTTGTGCAAAAGAATTAACGATCAACTATACACCTGATAAACCCATTCTGGCGAGCATCTGTGGGTTGTTTTCCCTTACACCACGGACCCGGCTCAATGCGGCCCTATTAAGGAACTCACAGTCCTAATCTAATTATGGAAGCTAATTGTCATGTCCCTGCGTAACAAATGATGGCCATACATAGCTATTGTATAACGAACAGGACCACTTTGGAAATTATACCAGCATTGCCACCCGATACCTGTGAATTTGTCTCACTGCTAAGTAATTGTACCGGCCTGTGTATAGCCAGAAAATATTGCAGTGTTTTCTTCGATCAAAATGAAATGACATTACCAAGTTCTAAAAGTCCATCTGCTAAAAGTTTCATGTGTCGACAGGTTTGTCACTAAACATGGAAAATGAAAGCTGCCGTAAAACATGATGACATTAGAAATAAGTGAATTAAACGGATAAAATTCTATAACATGTATTGATGAGTACAACCCCCTGACTTTGACCGACTCGTGTGCCAAGCCTTTGTGATTTGAATTGTCGCCATATGTAAGCTCCTCGATAACTGTTGCTCTCTTGCTGACTTTCCCGTCGCGCCGGAGTAAACTTCCCCGCCAGGCTTCATGCAAGTTATTCGTATAAACTCTCTATTAGTATACGGATTGTTCGCTAACTTTCACAAATTATTGCCTGTCTCGTCTCGAACATCCTCCACGGCGATAACGCGACGGCCGATTTAGGCGTGGAATTCGTTGATTTAGGGATAAAACCTGAGTTTGATGTGCTCGAGTTTGGCGCCGGCGACTGGTCCTAATCGTCGGTCAGTGTTGTACTATCACTGCCTAAGATCTATTGCCTAATTTCGGTTGGTATGGAATCGGACTCAGTTGATGACAGGACGCTCCGACTTGTGATCCGGTGACAGATCCAATTAGGCTCTGACAGAAGAAAGAATCAACTCATGCACACTAATAAGAACGTATCGGGAACTTATGAATTTAATTGTCATTTGTCAGTATGAATACGGTCCGTATTATCTGTGGGCGCACGAGGCTCAAAGTATGTCATGTCTTTACACAATTACAGGGACTATTTGCATCTGTCTCAATGATTTTCCGTCATGATCAAAGGGGCGGAATCATAAACCGATATTGTTTGTTAAAAGTCAATCGTAGAGGCGCAGTAATTTGAATTTCATGTGGTGGTTATTTAGCCTGGGTAGAATGGGGGATTTGCTGGATTAGATAAACCCTGATAAAGCAATCACTACGCTTGTGACTTTCCCCGAGTTGGCAGAAAACCTCTGGGGATAGGGGCTTATTTATGTAATTTGTCGACACGGCGGTCGCCGTACGTTTTTAAGGGTGATTAGTGGCCGTTTCGATCTCGAAGACGCTTGTCGCCTCTCCTCGCCGATTATAATGTACATCTCAGCCTATTTGTATATATAACGCCGTACAAGGCTTAGCACAAATCACTTTAATTGTTGTGAAAATCACAAAGTAAACCTATTGTTATCATGTTATTTATCTTTATAGTTTTGAATCCAGAACAAAGATTACTTTATCAACATTAACAGAAGATTTGTTTTCAAATCTACCTTATGATATAAAACAAGCGCATTGAAACCATAAATATGTAAAACATATATTATTATAGGTATAATTTTGATGTGTTTCAGACAATACTTAATTCCATGCATAAGTACCAGCCTCGTTTCCACTTGGTGCGCGCCAACGACATCCTCAAATTGCCATACTCAACATTCCAGACCTTTGTTTTCAAGGAGACCGAGTTTATTGCAGTAACTGCATATCAAAACGAAAAGGTAAGACTGCGTTACATTTCATATGAAAACTACTAACATTATTTCATTAAAATATTCAAGATTTTTTTCAATCTATTATCTTTAGATGTAACAAGGTGCCCTCCCACACCACTGTTTAATGATTCCGGTCGAATATCGTTGTAGTTAGTGATAAAAATGACAGACGTCCGTATTACTGTCACTGAAAGCGATAACAGAAGGGTTTGTGATGATGTTCTTGTCTGGGGAGGTCATAGTGATCTTAACGCGGAGGGAGATACTGTACTCAACTCGTTAAAATGAAACAGAATCAGAGTGGTCGCGTTCCATTGGCCAGTATGTGTTTGTTTTTCCGGAGTCCCAAAGGAAAGCCGTGGTCACCCTTAATTACGGAAATGACCATTGAAACGTATTTACACACTTAAGAACAAGGGGGAAATTTTTACCCAGATGTGAAGAGGGCTGCAACACACCACCCTTCTAATCTCATTACAACTGTTTGCTGGGGTTGTTATCTGATAACTGCACACGCTCGACCGTGCACATGTACGAGCTGTATATACAGGAGGCTAATTCCAGCTTTTATCTCGTAATCACCCAACAATTAGCACTATTTGGAAAACGGCGAGCCAATCTAGCACTGAATTTGTTAAATTACCTCGAAATGTTTCACTTCAACGATACCAGCTATTCGAAAGTCAGAAACCCAATTACACGATACTTCACGTGTGGAACCTATAACAATTTACACACAATTTTCACAGTTAAACGAAATATATATAAGTTAAATTTATATGGCCTTTCTCTATAATAGTTTTTATTTTACTTTTAATAATGTTATTTATTTATGAATATTTATGTTTTGTAGATAACACAGTTGAAGATAAACCATAATCCATTTGCCAAAGGATTTAGAGATACCGGTGGCGGCAAGCGGGAAAAGAAGTAAGCCTTATATTAACAATAGATGTATATGAAAAATAAGAGATGTCTGTGACAGCAAGCTTTCTTATAACTTATAGGGATACACTATGTATCAGTATCAATACTTCATTGTTAAATTCTTTTGATAAAACATCTGTATAATGTAGTTCAATCTATTTTACATCATAATTAATTTGTTTTAAAAGTTGTTATTCATGTATGTGTCTTTTGTTTAATCTTTAATTTAATCAAATTGTTCATTGTTTGATAAATCTTTATGATATAGAATAAGAAGTGAATTATTTTGATAATGTTACGTGTTTTTGTGATGATACACGAGATACAGGACGTCGTTGTAATGATGTGTCTTTCATTTACAGGAAGCAAGGAGGTGGTCCTTCGCTCTCCCAATCGTCACAGCAGCATTCGATTTCACCGGACAAAGGTCGAGCTGACGATCTCCATAGTGATGACGATGACAACGAGGAGGCAGAGATCTGTGTTGATGAAACTGATGACATCACACCTGATGTCAGCTCTGCTATGGAACTCAAAGACATTATGGAAACAGGTAAGAATAAATCAAATTTATAAAATTTGACCAGGTAGCTACATTGTTTAAAGAATACTGCATGGATGGAAATGCTAGTACGGCATTTTGTACGTCTATAACAATTACCAAATTAATTTGTTCTGTCCTTGTAAACAACTTAACTGAACTCCTTGTTTTGTATTTTTTCAGAAAAAGAACGTCTTGCATTGAAGACATCCTCTCCTATTAGTCACCATTCCAGTGATAATGAAGAGCGATCACCCCACCCCGCTCCCCGGGATGAAGTGTTTCGGCCGGACATATCTTCTAGTCTATCCCCGGTATCATCTAATCCTAATCACAGCCATTCCGATGTGTTAAATAGTACTATTAGAAGTAGTGTTGACGGCGGCGACAGCAGCGACGATTCAATTCGGGACGACCGCCGCTTGTCGCCCAAATCTTCCCCCATATCACATAAATCAGAGTCGGATACGTTACCTAAAACTCCTAATAGACCACCGAACGTCACAGTTGTTCAACCCTCAGCAACTCACGCAATGTTTCCATTTATGTATCCTTCTGCAGGACTTTTTTCATCATCATCGTCGTTACCGTTCCCATTGGGGCATATGTTTTTCAACTCCAATGGTTCATCACTTCCGTTCGCAACTCAGTTACCGTTCTTCTCCTCAGGACAGACCGACATGAACAACCTCCCCGCTAACCACCCATTGTCTCTATCACTCAATGGTCTTACGCCACCTCGTGGTGCTCACAATCTACTTCAACCCGCGTTTTCAACCGGAAGTTCATCACTACAAGGAAATGGAAGCCTATCGCCCTCTGACGGCCCTAGCCTCGGGCCAATTTTCCCTTCTCGTTCTAATCCTCGTTTCACACCATACTCACTACCGTCCACAAAGACTACCATGGCTACGTCGACATCACCGATATCGGCCACCGGACATCCGCTCCGGGATTCAGCCGTCAGTCCAGGAACTGTCTCTCCGCGCATGAACGGGATGTCTAGTGCTACGTCATCAACAGTGAGAAGTCCTATCTCTCTGAACATTCCGTCTGCGTTTGACACGAACAATCACAGCAATGAACTCAGGAATATGGAGCGCATGCTCAGTGGGCTAGAAAGACATCGTCTGTATGGAATGGCTTCGTCAGAAAAATGACAAATACCTACCAAGGGGCCAACATGGCGCCCCTTTGAGTAACAACGGGTATCTACCGTCTGTGACCATCACAAACATTAAACCTGCAGCATTGTTGTACGTAGAAGAGTGATTGGAATCACGTAATATAGGGCGGTGTATGATAGTGTTGGTACAGACTCGGCTAGTCTGAGGTGGACGGTTTACGTCAAAGTGCTTGTTATGTCCGATTCAATAATGCAGCATTGCTGCGTCATCGTGTGACGTCACGCCGCGATGTACTTCACGCTGACGAGTCATGATAATGTTTACATTTTAAGTGTCTGTGATAATGCCCTGTAGAGGGCGCTATAGAACTAAGTCATATACTGTTTGTTGTCATGGTAACACTTTAGACGGTTCCTGTTGATATTGTCAGTGAATGTTGTTGTTGATGACGTCACGGCTCGTTGTGTATGTATTTATAAGGACGGTCAGGTAGACACTGTGGAATGATCGTGTTGTGTTAAGAGGGCGATGTGCAATATTGCGTTCCTCGTGTATTGAGTTAAATAAAACATGTATTTAAATTGATCTTTTTGTTATATTATCTGTCTGTTGCATAATTATATTTTTTTTCTTCAATATTTTCATTCTTTCAGATATATCATGCATTCTTTTCATTTATATTTAAAGTTTTTAAAAAATCGATATAATTATCCGTTTTGCAATCTCATGCAGATTACATGTACGTCAACGGTACTGTAATACCTACAACAACATCCAAACGATAATTTCTCACTTACTACAACTTAAACGGAATACGATACCTTATTATATCAATATCCGTATATATCTGATTACAAACAGACATTTCAACACGTTACAACTCAAATATGACAACATACCTTTTCATAATCTAAACTTATGAACATATATCTTATTACAACTTAGCATAATAACATATACGTTATTATCATACAAACAAAATGAATTGTTTTATTACAACCCAAACAAACTAATATACTACCTTATTAAAACTTAGACATAATGATATGAAAGCTTATTATAATTTAGATTTAACATGTAATTTAAACCCACCATATAAATACCTTATCACAATGACAACATACACATATTGATGTTATACCTTGTTACGACTCAAACAAAACGGCGTGCACTTTACTACAGCCTAAACATGTTCACACAGATTTTATACAGATATCTATTAATGTCAATTAAACTATAGGTGTTATTGAGTGTAATAAATTTATTAAAAATAGAAATATGCTTTCAGGTATAATACAGCTTAACAATGTAGGTATAATATAATAATATTATAAAGTTATAATACAGCGTAACAATGTAGGTATAATATAATATAGTTATAATACAGCGTAACAATGTAGGTATAATATAATAATATAATATAGTTACAATACAGCGTAACAATGTAGGTATGATATAATAATATAATTATACTACAGCGTAACAATGTAGGTATAATATAATAATATAATTATACTACAGCGTAACAATGTAGGTATAATATAATAATATAATTATACTACAGCGTAACAATGTAGGTATAATATAATAATATAATTATACTACAGCGTAACAATGTAGGTATAATATAATATAATATAGTTATAATACAGCGTAACAATGTAGGTATAATATAATAATATAGTTATACTACAGCGTAACAATGTAGGTATAATATAATAATATAGTTATACTACAGCGTAACAATGTAGGTATAATATAATAATATAGTTATACTACAGCGTAACAATGTAGGTATAATATAATAATATAATATACTACAGTGGATAATGTAGGTATAATATAATAAGGTATGTATAATACACTGAAATAACAATATTATACAATGTAATAATATAGGTATATTACAATATAACAGCCATGAAACAATGATGTAACATATAATAATATACTCGTTAATGTAGGTAATGAAAACATTGGTAAAATATAATAAAATAACATAGAAATAATACATTAAATAATAAATATATCAATAAAATAATTATGTATAATACACTATAATAACAGTATTATACAATGTAATAATATAGGTATATTACAATATAACAGCCATGAAACAATGATGTAACATAGTTATAATACACTGTAAATGTAGGTAATGAAAACATTGTAAAATACAATAAAATAACATAGAAATAATACATTAAATAATAAATATATCAAACAAAATAATTCTGTGGGTAAAACACAATATAAAACCAGTCATGATAAAGTGAAATAACACGAGTTTAATACAGTGTAAAATGTAGTTATGATACAGTGTAAAATGTAGTTATAATACAGTGTAAAATGTAGTTATAATACAATGTAAAAATGTAGTTATAATACAATGTAAAAATGTAGTTATAATACAGTGTAAAAATGTAGTTATAATACAGTGTAAAATGTAGTTATAATACAGTGTAAAATGTAGTTATAATACAGTGTAAAATGTAGTTATAATACAGTGTAAAATGTAGTTATAATACAGTGTAAAATGTAGTTATAATACAGTGTAAAATATAGTTATAATACAGTGTAAAATGTAGTTATAATACAGTGTAAAATATAGTTATAATACAGTGTAAAATATAGTTATAATACAGTGTAAAATGTAGTTATAATACAATGTAAAATGTAGTTATAATACAATGTAAAATGTAGTTATAATAAATGTAATAATGTAGTTATAATACAGTGTAAAATGTAGTTTTAACACAGTGAAAATAATGTATGTAAACTACATTGTTTTAATGAAGGTACAGCTTAATATTGCAAATATTTTAAATGAAGGATAGTATATTTTTTTTCTATCGATTTGTGTCATGGAATGATACTGAGATCATTTTGTCCAGCCTTTCATTATTCCAACAGACGTGAGTGACCGGTCCTTCAATTATGATTATAAAACAAAATCCAAGCACAACATGTCTTTATATGATGAATATAAGAGACATGATGTAGATATATATTTGTTTACTACACAGTAACATTACTGTATGTACTTAACACTGCTTACAGTATACTGTTACAAATATTTTAACACCAAGAATTACTCTTAATTGATTATTTTCACGTGACTTAAAAATATGATTTTTTAACATTTATATAACACCTGGTCTTATTTTCCTTGTACCTTTTCAGCAGATTCCGTGTAAATCTTTGTCCATATTTTGCTCGGTTTTAGTTTGCATTATGATCATGTTGAAGTGTTGGTATTTTCATGTTGTTTTTCATCTAGATATCAGTCGTTGAATTGTTTTCCACAAAATTCTGATCATTTTATTTACTCATCTTTCTTCTTATTACGGCTTAAGATCTATATATAATCAAGATATTATCATTGTCTCAAAAACTAATATCTGTATTACAGTTCCATTTCTAATGATGTGTGGGTGCTTTGTTTAAATTTATATTGTTTACAGGAGTATTGTATAAAAGACATAGAAACAAATAGCACGTCAGCTATTATTTGAAAGTATTTTTAACAGGTTATGTCTAGTACATTATTCATAACATAGATAAAATACACCGCATAAAGTTTTCGGAAAAAAACACACTTTATTTTAAAACAATTCTCCTGTTACTATTTTCATAGCATGCGTTTGCCAACATAAATTATACATATCAGTTATGTGTTTGTCACAATATGAACATAAACAAAGTGTTATAATTCAGAACTGACAACAAACAAGAAAAATGATCTGCAAACATTAAAACATTGTAGGTAACAGATAAGGATTTTCTCAATAAGTGGGAATATTGTCACTTTATTTCACACATCAGTTTCAGCATTACCAAGATCCATGTTTATCTAGTTCTGTGCAAAAACACACATAACACCCAGTAGGTCAGGTGTGAAAAACACGTGTAATAATAACAAAATCAATGTTGTAAAACTCCAGTTATGTGACCAAAGGATTATTACCAGTTTGAAGAGTAACTAACATAGAGCCTGCGATATCAGATAATCAAATTGGTGAGAGCTGTTAAATATTCAGATTTACAACACATACAATATCATATGGCTCCTATTATATCTTATCCTAAACAATTGGAAGGGGTTAAACTCCATTATGAAACATTTACTCACCAAAGGTAAATTTGATTAACAATCAGTATGATAAAATATCTATCAATGGCGTACAGAATGATTTTTAGGAGTATATGTTTTCAAGAGAGGGTACAGGGGAGAATCCGGTGGGGGGTCTAGGGGGTGGGGGCATGAAAGTAAAATAAAGTAAGAAAAAATATCTCAATGGGATTCGAGTATATGCTAAGCAAACAAGCATACACAATTGCTACTTTGTGCTTAAAGCCACATTTTCATTTATGAAAAAACAATAATCTTGAAATGAACCCAAATAGAAAATTAATTAATCTACTTAATTTTAAACTGGAGACCGCTGGTTTACTTTAAAGTAAACCTAAAGAGGGAACAGAAGAAAATAACTTACTTCAGTAAAATATTTTTAAACATAGTTCAACACACTCCTGTAACATTTATCTATAATATATACTTACCATTGTAACCATTGTAGCGCAAATAAAAATAAATTAATGTATGATCAAGAGAGAAGAGATGGCATTAATTCATATATTCGGTATGGGGTTCGTTATATACACACAAATGCGATATTATTGATACAATATCTCTCGGTTAAATGAGTGTGTGACAATCAGGAAATTTAAAATAAATTCACATGAAAGGTACATGTCATCTTGTTCAGTATTTTAAACATTGATTTGCTGCCATAAAGCGTGTATTTAAATATATAAAAATTTTCAGAATTAAACAGGACGATCCTTGTTGTACTTTCGTCTACTCACTTATTGAACACGTGGCGTCATCGGAAAGAAAAAATCTATCAACATCCTGTCAACAGACAAGAAATTTGTACTAGACATTACGCTGAAAGCTGTGATTTTCCTGGTTAAGCTGAAACTCATCTGTAAATAGAAATTAAGAAAAATTACATAAACAACCACGCGTA